TACAAGTAAGCACGAATAGTTTTATAAGTATAATAAAATTAAAATGTAATAAATGTGGTTTGCTTAGTCAGGTTGAAAGAAAGTGATGATGCATCGGAAATAAATTCAAATGTCAACGCCTGAATAGTATCTAGCAGCAGATATTCGCAATTAGAAGAACTTTGTGCCGTGATAAATATCACAAGCTTCTCCAATAGTACATGAATAAAATACCTTACTATTGTATCAAAATATTTTCGTAGTACGACATATAAACTAATATCCGAAGCTATAGAGGAGGAGACGAATATTGCTTATCTAAAAGAAGAAGTCAATCACGGTGATATACCTTGTATCATCGTCGTCACGGATGAATCATGGGTCAAAAGGTAATATAAGAAACTATATAATTTGTTATCGGACGTAGCCGCAATCTTCAGTTTTGATACAAAAAAGATTTTATATATTGAGGTGCGTAATAAATATTGTTCTGTCTACGATCGGTTAAACGGTACAAAAGTAGCTCTTTGCGATCATCAATGCTACAAGAATTGTTATGGTCTGACAATACAGATGGAATTAGACACAATAGGAGTTACACGTTTCGTTGTAATGTCCAGATGTACGATTTGAAATATGTCAAATTGATCAGAGGTGAGAACAACGTACACTGGAAAATGATAAACGCTTTGCCGTATTGTCCAGAATTACTAATCGACAAGAGTGAATGCCGCAATCATATATTACAAAACTATTGTAGCCTTTTGCAGACTCTTTGTGTAAATAAATATCATGGCTCCGTCATTCAGCGAAATATCTTGTAGAAACATTTGAAACGTTTGCGATTCGCTGTTACGGTAGCTGTAAAATATTGTAAAGGATAACAAAAACAGTCTCTACATCAACGTGGAGGAATTACAGTAATATATTTGCAATGAGCTCTACCATGTTTTTGTTTATCGTGAAAAATGTAGCAAATGTAATTACACTGGTAAAGAAAAACCTAGTGAGATTAATCACATACAGAGAATGCAAAACATTGGTATTTTTAACGAAATATTATCGTCAATGCATTACGTAACAGCTAACGCGTCCAGTTTGATATGGCATGTCCATAACAAACTTTGTCTTAAGCAGCTCATATCAAGCTCGATGCAAAGTTACTGTCATCATTATGAATTCTGATCATTCATTGCATCGGGAAATAAATAATAAATTGTCAAGTAAATGTACGGGCAACTTTACTTTACAGTATGTGAATAGAAAACGTCGAATTTGTGATTCACGAAAAGTAAAAAATTCTCAATATCCCGCGAAGAAATTTCATATTGAAAATGACGATGATTATGAACCAGACGCGATTTGTCCTCAGCCATTCTATTTATGTGACAAAGACTTGATGCATGCCAAAAAACTATTTGTAGAATCGTTAAATAAAGAAGACCCTTTCAAAATCGAGTGCGAAACTTGTGGATAAAGAAATTCTATCGAATAGAGTGAGCAGAGTCGAAAACGATTAACTGCTACAATGTTAGGAAAAATTTGTAAAAGGAAGCCACGCAGGTTTTGTGTAAAATTAATAGAATTCATTAGATATCCCCGTTTCAAGGGACATAATAATATTAGGTGGGGAATTGAAAAAGAATCATTGCCAATTAGACGATTCTCCACCGAGTACGGACTCGATATTTAAGATATGGATCTGATTATAGATAAACATCAACTATTCTTGGCTTTTCCGAACGGCTTAATTGGTATCCTCATTGAAGTCAAATGCCCAGTTTCAATGAAGGATATGAGGCCAATGGAAAAAATTGGACGTACAAAGATTACGTTCATACACCAAGTGTAGAATCTTTTTACACATTACTCAAAGACAATGATATTATTTTATTCTTTGAATATCGAAAAGAATGAGTGTAGATTAAATAGAAAAAAACAATTGCTTTTGTTCAGATAAAATAAAGGAGAAGCTAACAGTTTTTTATTACGAGTGCCTTTTACCTGAAATTGTCGATTCCCGCAAAGGACGTAATCTTTCGATTGGAAAACCGACGCAGATTTTAAAAGTACAGCGTGCTTATAACAATTAATCCTAGGTTTCCAAATATTAGCATGCCGCCATTTTTTATTTTACTATTATAATATAAAATGCATTAAATACAGGATGGAGTAAAGACTTTGTGGTTGTTCCAATTGGAAAATCAAAGGTGGAAGAAGAGAATCAAGGTACTATAGAAGCTATTTGTTCGGCTAAACTAGCCTTGCATACAGGCGACTGCTTCGAATGATACCACATCATGAAGAATATAAAACGTCACATAAACATAGCAAAACTAAATAGGTTTTTTTATATTTGGACAAAAAATTTTCTTTTTTTGAATAAAGATTTAGTTTTTATAACGCAAATGTTCAACGTGTATATTTTCTCAAATGCGTGCCAATACTTCTCGTCCGGAAAGGGATATGTATATATATATATATACACTCACATATATTATACATTTACCATTTCTATATTTAATCCACTCACATACTTATTACTCTATCTTATCCACAAACTATTCACTAGTATTTCTGTATCTTATTCAATTAATTCACTCTTTCTATATCTTACTCAATCATACGTTATCTTGCTATTTATCTGACTCATTCATACACTAATTCACTACTTCTGTTTCAATGAAACACTTTCCATCTTACTCTGTCTAATCGTTTACTCATACAATTATTACTTCTCTTTCTTACCGTATCAGCCACAATTTCTTCACTTTTTTCGTTAATACACTCACTCCTTACTTCTTCCTTTTCCTAACACACACATTCATTCATTCCTATTTCTCTACTTTATTCAATTACAGAAATAATGGGAAAGAAAGAAAGAGAGAGAGAGAGAGAGAGAGAGAGAGAGAGAGAGAGAGAGAGAGAGAGAGAGAGACAGAAAGAGAGGAATAGAGAGTGAGAAAGGGTAAAAAAGTTAAGAGAAGGGACGTATTACAAGTACGTTAGCTCTATGTCGGATCATACGAAATGTCTTTCCTTGAAATTTATAGAAATAACGTTATTGAAAAAAAAATCGTTCGAGTTTAAAACATTTAATATTTTCTTTTTATATATGTATGTATTTATATTTAACGTACCATCGTTCTATTGCGTACAACGTCAATTCAATTTATTAGATATAATTTTATATATAATATTAGAATATATTAGATATAATAGAAAATATTAGATATAATTCATTAGATAGAGATTGATAGGTTAAAAATTTATTAATCTTTATTTTTTTTGATTCAAATAAATATTTACTATTGCCGCTACTACCACTACTACTGTCATTATTGTTATTATTAGTACTAGTACTGAAAAGATTTTTCACATTTTTTATTATTGTTAAGAACGTAAATGTTAGAAAATAGATTTGCGAGAATACGCATACATTTTTAACCTTATTGAATCGAAAAGTAATATGAAATAGATAAATTTAGATAACAATCTGTACTAATGAATTATTATTAATCCTAGTTTAGAAATTTTTTGAATGAGACTGTATGCGTAATAAAATCGATTATATATAAATATAAATACATATATATATATATATATATATATATATATATATATATATACATATATGTATAGATATACAAGTAAATTTACATAACTAATCATATCAATATGGAAAGTTTACTAGAATTCGAGAACGTTTGTATTGATTTACTGGAAGACAAATAAATAACCTTAAAATTTATATTATTTGTAAAGTCGATTAACAAGTACGCACAATATGTTTACATACATACATACGTATCGCACAACACATCTGCGTACGTACGTAAGTATGTAGATACGTTGATCATAATTGAAGAATGTAGAAAATTGAAATGTTCAATAACACGGCTTATGCCGTAATGAAAAATATCGGCCATGTTGAAGAGAAAGATAGGTAAACAGAGGTGAAAGGGGAAGAAGAAGAGTTGTGTTGGTTTCGGTGGTGGACGCGGGTCATATGTGCAATCCAACCGGAAGATGTATTATAATTTTCGCTGGTGTGAGATATCGTTCATTTTGCCGAAAGTATTAGAATAATGGTTTGCAATGAAAATGAATTAAACGTAGTGAATTAACGAATTCAAAGAAAAAAAAAAATCAAATTGGATCAAAATGTCAACAGAACGAATCCATGCCTGACATCGTCTGTGCTTACATTTTTTTTATCAATTTTCCTTCTTTTTTTTCTTCAGTCACCGATCGATAATTAATATTTTCTTTTTTATTATTTTCTTTTTTATATATATTTTCATATCGTAAAAGAAAAGTCAGTAAGTGCTTACTCGCTCACGTATATTTTTTTTCTCTTCTCGTATATCTCTGATCGATAAAATAATTGTATTTTTCTCTCTTTCTTATAGGTTTTATTTCTATACTTATTTTAAATAACTCATTATGGTAACTTAATTGTTTTTCTTTGAAACGGATCGTCAACTCTACTGATGCAATTGGAGAGAAAAATGGAAGTAGAAGAAAAGAAAAAAGAAAAGACATGAAAGAAAGAAAAATATAAAGAGTGAGTGGGAAATAGAGGGGGAGAGGAAGAAGCATAGAGAGGAGAGAGAGATAGAAAGGGAAAAAAAGAATTTATATGTGAATATGAAGACATATTTATATAATATATATATTTTTTTCATAAAATGGACTTGTCCTATTTTCAAAATCAACGGCTTATATATTCATTCTCCCATAAAGGCGTCTTGCCATCGTTGTTAAGAAAATTACCAGAGCTCAAGATCGAATTAATATTTAGCGATGAAATGTTGTAATGGCGATATAACTCTCGAATAAATTGGAGATATATTCTAGTATACAATATACTCTCTCAATTCTTACGAACTTTCGTGGAGTATAATGTCGAGCAAGCTCAATTTGGTAATCTAATTCATAAGAGTACTTAACGTAGTACATTCAACGTAGTATAGAAACAAGCTGATATTCCTTTAAAATGCTTGGAATCCATTAAAATCAAGTGGTTGGACTAGATGACACCAGCGAGAATCGATATTGGCGAAAAGTACATATTCAAGATTTCATCTACAAATGATCTTTATATTAATATTTAGCTACTGATTAATATTTCTAAAGTATGATAATTGTGATAAAAAAAATTATGATGAAAAGGAAAAAAAAATTTAATTTTATATGCCAACAGATTAAAGGGAGCATTTCCGAATGATTGCAGTAAAGTTATCAAGGACGCTAAACAATGGGCACAAGAGGTGGTAGTTAATGATAAGAATAGATTGATAAATAGATATCATATATTAATTATAATAAAATTAATTACATATGTACGTATCTTTTTTTATTATTTTTGTATCTGTAAATTCAGGTCAAAAAATTGCGAGGAAACGTGGTAAAAATTGGGTGAATAAGTATTGACACTGGAAAGATTAGGAACGATATAGAATCAACATCTCGCCATTATTGGGAACATTT